ATCGTAGTCCAATCGCTCGCGATTTATAAATCGACCGAACAAGGTTAGAATAACCGCAACCCGTGTCATAAGCCTTTCAACGTCGCGTGTTCCGCAGAATCGTTCCGTTAAGCGAAGGAACAGGCGAAATATGGCTTCTGGGGAGGGAAATATCGGCCACGTTGGTCAATATTTGTCGTGCACAACGTCGATACTGGCCCAAGGTAGTTTCAATGCGAACACATCCGGGCATTAAGTTTTCGCTCTCGTTTTGCACGCGAGGGAAATAGATATTTCGGAATAAATGGCGAACAGGGAGCGTTACACATCACGTGAGCGCATATATAGTTTCAATATTATTTCACAGTTGTACATTGGTCGTGCACACATTGTCTATCGATCTTCCTCGGATAAACTTGATGTTTAATTAAATTTCGATACTCTCGGCATTCTCCACGGAGAAATGGTCGAATTTGTGACGATGAACGAACTTTTAAACGAATATCGAAACTTAATTTTCAGATTCGTGAAACAATTGAATTGAATTCTTCGTGAGAAGTTGTTTCGAAACTTGTTAAAATAAATTTAAAATCTAATTGTGAACGGAAAATTGTTTAAGAGGATAATATCGATCGAAAAGCGATCAGATTTAGATTGATGATATCTTCGTTTCTAATAATATTATTATCTTCTTTTTTAAAATAATTTAAAAAAAAAAAGATATTTTGCTCGCGTATTTTAGGTTTTTTTAAATGATACAGCGGAAAAGTTTTTTTGCAGTTTATAATAATATTATGTTCCTCGTATAATGTTATTAATAAAGAAGCTAAAACCATCTGAGAGGCAAATTAATTTTTTTTAGTTCAGTTTGTTTTTGCTACACGAAGTGTATAATTATAATGTTAATCACTTGTTTATTATCAGATGATCGCCAATGTAACATTTATTTAAATGTATAATTATGTAAAATTTATTCATTTTAGAGTTTACGATCTTGCATAATCCATCACTATTCCGCTGCAATATTAAGAAATAATATCGCAGAATGAATCGATTTTCCAATATAAATACCGTAATAAAAATACCGTACAATCATTTCCGTGATTGTAAACATTCTTTTGTATTTAAGACAAAAAAAATATTAAACGTGAAATCATCCTTTTCGTCTCTTCTTTTCGCAATTCTTCACGGTTCTTCTTTTTTCGTCTAAAAAAAAAAAAAAAAAAAAGGGACAAACATTCTCTTTTTTTTTTTTTTTTTGGCGAAAAAAAAAAAAACGGGGAAAATTGCCAAAAAAAAGAGCGAAAAGGGAGGTTTCACCTTTAAATTTTTTTTTTTTTTTAAAAAAAAAAAAAAATTAAACCGGAAAACCCCCTTTTCCGTTTTTTTTTTCCCAATTTTTCCCGGTTTTTTTTTTTTCGTTCAAAAAAAAAAAAAAAAAAAAAATGGACAAACATTCTCTTCTTTTTCTTTTTTTCTTATGCGAGATAAAAAATAATACATGGAATTTGTTGTTAGAATTTTTCTTACGTTAAACGTTTTTTTCATATTTTCTAAAATACAATAAAATACAATATCACTATCTTCCATCAGATCCTCCTTTGATAATAAAAATTCTTTTCCCCTCGTGCCCAAGAAATGAAATAAAATTTTGAGTTCGAAGAAAACGGATATCAATCAAATGGAATAAAAAGTGACTTATTAATCGCGAAACACGTGGTTGGAACCACGTGGATAAGAGATAAATTTCATTTCGTAGATACCTTTCAAATACCCGTTACTATATCCTTCTAACTGTTCATCTCAGTCTACAAGTATTCTTTCATCCAATCGCTTATTTCACCGTCATCCAGAAGAGAAAACCCGCGTTATTAATATTAATTACACGTGTTTTAACTATCGAACGGTATCGTGTTATCGACGCCGATTAATCGTACGTCGATCATCTACGAACAGTGATTTTTTATTTCATTCAATATGTTTATCAATATCGTGGAGATGTTACGAAACATCCAGTGAATATTCGTGAGAAACCGAATATTCGTTTCTTTTTTTTCTCTTTCATTTTTTTTTTTTCTTTTATAAGATATTTCGTGTTTTTGAGAAAGGATCGATATTATCTTATAATGTTTTTCACGAATATGGCCAGTTTTATTTATTCATTGAGAAGATTTTTATTTTGCTTTATGATTTTATGGTATATATACGATTGAAATTTATTATGAAAAGAAAGTATGAAATTTTTTTTGTTGAATTGGAATTTTATTAATTGTTATATAGTCAATGTTTATGTATCCATTAAGGATCCTTTTTCTCTCTCTCTCTTTTTTTTTTTTTTTAATGTTGATTGTTTTTTTTATTATGTAATGTGAATTTTTTTTTTACAATATTAAGAAACTACTATTTG